TAATGTGCTATGCCAGGTTCAGGAGGTTGAGATGAATGGAAATACGTCAGATAAAAATCTGACAAAGGGATCTGGTGTTGGAAATCATCCAGCGTCACTGACTGTGGCTGCTGCCATTTTGAATCACAGCAAATTGTGCAGGTACCCTGCAAATTTTGCAACCAGCCTCTCCCTTGTCTTTATGAATTCCTGTGGGAGCCTCGGGTGCAGTTGAGGTATTTTGATAATGGACTGATGTGGATAAATTAAAAAATAGAAAAAGAGAGCAAAGCTGATTTCCTTTGCCTCCAGCCAGCTTTCAGACTGGATTTGTGTTATCCTGAAGACTCTCTTCAGGAGGTTCTTACACCTATAGAGCTGGCAATGAAGTAACTTGCAGAAGGAGGAAAACTCTCCCTCTGCAAGGAAGGGGTACTTAGGTGCGCTGATGTGGAACAGGCTGCTTTGCCGATATAAAGAGCATTTCTGTTAGTCCTTTTTTCCAGTTGCAAGGTGGAGAGAGATGCTGTTCTGCAGCAGGCATTCAGACAGGCACAAATTGAGCAGATGATCTCTACAACAAAATGTATGTTTCCAAGGAATTGTAGGGAACATCTCCTTCCTGCCAGCGTAGATGGTAAAATAGCATCTGATATTTGGGGCTTTTGTTGTGCTGTACGCAACACACAAGCTCAAGCAGAATAATAGCACCATGGACCCACCTTTGTCCACTGTGATGAGAAGGTGGCTCATCAGCCCAAGCACTGCAGGTTTTGCGCTGCAAGCTTGCCCAAAGCCAGTTGCAATAAGGTTAATGTGAGAATCAGATGGTGTCTGAAGGGTTGCTTCACAAAACTTTGTGATCACATTGCCCCCAAACCAGGGCTTAGACTATGTTTAATGAGATTTATGGTGTGTTTTAGAGTGGGGGACATCTGAATACACTGCTGTAGGTAGGTGAAACACCGATGAGGGCTGTTCCACTTAATTTCAAACCTGTGGCGAAACAGCTTGTTATCAGCAAGCCCTTCACCACACGGTGACAAAAGGAGAAATGGGAATTCTTCCAGCTGTGCTTCAGCTTGTGAATTTTCTTTAGGTAGCAGCTGATTTTAATCCCTACATTTTCTTCTGCAAATGAACGTTCCAGATTTTCTTCTCTGCAGACTACTCAGCACAAATGGAATTTTGTGAGAAATTGTGATCTGCACTTTTTCCTCTCAGGTTTCATGCTTGTGGCTAATACCTCATTGGGGATACAGTTGTTCAGATTGTGTTGCATAATACCTAATGCTTACATCCCACTCACCCCCTTTAAAGTCTAAGCCAAGAGACAAGTCTATTGTGTCAACGTGTTTATTCATTTCGTTACTGCACCCTTCCCAAACAAAAATAAATTGCTTATCTACTTCCGAATCTTATTCCCAGTGGCAGATACTGCAGGACAGTTCTTCATGCCTTTTGGCAACCACATTTTAAGAAAGAGGTAATGCAGTTACCCATAGCAATGACAGCACAGACCAGTAGAGCACTGAGACAGTTTCTTCATGTGGTGGTTGGTTTTTTTTACATTAAAAAAAAATAATTATTAGGCCTTAATTTGGCCTAATAAAGTGTTTAAATAGAGCTATATTGTCCTTCCTTGAACCTGATTTAGTTGTCTTTTAAATAGGAATTATTACCTGGAACAAATTGATACAACTTTGAGTCTGAACTAAGACGATGAGTGCGATCTGAGATGTGGCATTGCTAATCTGCTGGGGTTCTGTTTAAAGCTTACAGTTTTCATGTGACGTATTTCACAGAACCAAGCGTCATTTTGAAATTCACGTGCTTTTAGTATTGCTTTAAATCATAATGTGACGAAAATTGAGTATGCACAAGCCTAACTCATATTTCCTCAAGAAGGGCACACGTAACAGTACTTTTGTGAAAGCCTCTTGCAGCTGGTACTCCTGTCTGTGTGCAAGGACTGAGCCAAGGCTGAGTGAGCTCAGGCTGGTCCCACCACCACTGGAGTGGGCTCCCAGGCATTAACATGTGCTTGGAAATGGTCCTGCTTTGCAGCAGTGGGAAGAGTCTGGGCTTACCATGGGGATCGCAGCCTGGGATGTGTGTGATGGATGGATGGATGGATGGATAAAAGGGAAGCTGCGTTGTAGCCAGTGTCTGTGGTTGCTGTCATTGCTCACCAAAAGCAAGCTTGGGAGTCTTCTGCAATCAGTCATCAGCACAGTGTAACCTTGGCTTTGGATGGATGCAGGTCCCTGCCTCAATCTTGAAATACTGAGCATATCCATCACCACTGAAACAGAAGTTTAAGTCACCTGCTTCAAAGAATGAGAAAGAAAAGCATTGCACGTTTTGTTAATTGGCTTTTTTCTCTTTCTTTTTTCCCCCTCCCCCCTTCCACATTGAGGTGAGAAGCAGAGAGGAAAAAGAGTGCAGAGATCACAGAATACTGAAACACTGTCAGTGTGATGGGATTATATAGTTTTGGACTGTTTATGCAGTGCTAGATAAGAGAAAAGAAGATACTGGAAATCCTGGAAAGAGATACTACGCTCAGTCTGGCATTGTGGCGAAGCTGGAAATGAGAAATTGGGTAATAGGATTTTTCTGTCTGCATCAGCCTCTGGCTGTCTTCAGTATGTTCAGGAAATCACTTTACATCTCTGCTTCCATTTCCTATGCTGTCAAATGAACATAATGATGACTACCTCCTCTGAGTGCTTGAGCTTCATTAGAGTAATAAAACATTTTGGAGGAAGGAGTCACAGGTGTGTGATTTATTAATCCAGCGAGGTCAGGCTGAACTGTCTGTACACAGCTAAAATTTAGAGTGAGGGGAAGGTCTCCTGGAGCTGAGTGGATGCCGATGCCCAGCATGCTGCCCATGCTCAGGATTGCCAGAGAAGGTGAAGCGGATTTTTCCAGCCCTGCCTGTCTGAACATGGGGACAGCTAAAACCAAATCATTTTTGTTTCTCACCTGTCACATATCACCTCACTGCAGTGAGGAATTTGAGTGTTCAGTGCAGGAGTCTGCTAGGTTTTTGTCTGAAAGAGGTTTTGCTTGTTCAGTTCTGCACAGATGTTTTATTAAGATGCTCTGCATGGCTTTTTCTCTGTGTACTAGTTGTGACACGATTTTATGCTTGAACACAATAAAATAAAACAAGTCAAGGAGATAAGATACTGAGATAAACAGATGAGCAATGTTTATAAACCATAAGAGTCTCTAAATTTGATAACCATCAGTTCCAGCCAATATACCCCATGGTGCTAAAGAAAGAAGAAATCAATATTGCAGAAGCTTTTACAGCAGATTTATGAGCACTTTGTTCAGGATCAGTCCATGAAGACTGAAGCATAGCTGGCATGATGCACTTACTTACGGAAGGGCTTACAAAGAACGCCCTTGTTGAATTCACAGACTGTTCCAGGGAATTAAATTGGAGAATATGGAAATGGGCTTTTAAATATTTTTCATTTATTAGTCTATATCCAGAGAAGAAAGTGCTGTAATAAATTATCAACTCCTTTGAGTAATGTGGCTGAATAGACAGTAAGAGGGAAGCAATAGTCCCTGCCAAAGTTATTAAGCATACCTTTTCAAGCTTCTGTTTTATGAGATAAGTGGATTACTATGGACTGGTTTGCTAATAGGAATTTCCCCCTTTCCCCCCTAATAAGATACACTTTCACTATATTTAGGTACTACTTTCCAATTAAGACAAGGCTGTAACATAAATAGATACTAACAGCAGTAAATCACAATATTCTTTCAAAAAGCATGGAAGCTATTTTCTGAGTTGCGACATGGTATTTACACCCTGATGCTCACACCTTTCATGATTTGATCCCTGTTTTGGGTATGTTTTATTACTTAGTATGGCTAAGAAAGTTGTTGCTGTGCTGTTTGCTTGCTGGAGAGCATAGGACCATCCTTCACCACAGGCCACACCATCACCAAATCTGCATGTAAACATGTATCTCTACTCATTGGCAGTAATTTTTTGCCTAAGGCAAGGTGACAGTGGCATGTTCTCACACCAGCAATTAGCTAGACACAGTCAATACAGACAAGAGGAGCAGATACATGCATAACAGATACAGGAATAGCATGTTATGATGGTATGTGATGTTGGGGATCCCAACACTTAGCAGGGCCAGCTTCTTTTTGTATGGTGGGGACAGACTAAAGCTATCAAAGTTCCCCAGAGGGAGATGAGATCATTCCTATGATGCTGTGTACCCAATTAAAAGGTGAAAGTAAAGCACAGAATCTCCATGCTTTGTTTAAAAGAACACAAGTGTTCTTTGTGTTCCTTTTTTCAAATTGAAGCTGTATTTTCCCAGAATCAGGCCGGCTGGGACTTTACCTTTCTGCAGGGTGGTTTACTGAATTTGCATGTGATTTCTGTGTAGTCGCCTCACTGTTTCCCTGCTGTGGCTGGGAGCGAGCACTGCAGCGTCTCCACCTTTGACTAGGAGGAGTCTGATGACAGTCTTCATGAGAGCATTGGTGCCAAGCTATAATTTAGACATTAATACTCTCAGCAATAAAAACCATTTCCTGGATCTCTCCTGGGAAATTGTCTGGTCCTTTTGTATGAACACTCCTTTTTCTAGTCACAGTTTTAACAGGGCTCTTGCTAAGGCATTGTTTGGTGAATCATACACGTCAAAGCATATTTTCCCCTTTCCTGTTCTCTCACTCCTGTTGTTGATGTTTTTTTCTTCTTGCTACTCTTACTGAAATGTCTCTACTTCACTCTTCCTTTAAGTATTTGAATAATTAACAGCAGTACATACAGAAAGATTTCTGTCCATGTGAACTGTGTTGGTAAGTGTGTGATATGGATTGCTGATCAGGGACGGGTGACAAGGGGGAGTAACTTTATTCAGCATTGGCTTTCCAGCACTTCCTCGGCTTTCTGTTTGTAAGAAGAGATTTCAGACAGGCTTTCCAGTGTTCTGCTAGTCTTTAAATGCATGTTTTCCAAATCTGCTTCACAGGTGCCAACAAAAAAGCTGAAGAAATATGAGAGAGAGTACCAAACGATGCGAGAGAGTCAGCTGCAGCAGGAAGATCCCATGGACAGATACCAGGTACGGGAGGTGCTCTGTGGGAACCTGTTTCATTGGCTGAATCCCACAGGGAGTGACCCTGTTCCAGTGATTAAGCAGAATTGTGTGTACTGTGCTCGCCTCTCTGGGATATGCCAGTGCAGACCTTAGGGAAGTTCAGTGGCAGGTGAAACTCATCCCCCCCTTCTGGAACAAGCACTTTGAACACTTGGCCTTAGTGTTTTTTCAGGAATATTTCAATCATAATTTGTAACTCTCAAGACATCTGCAGGTGGCCACATATAACATTTTTCTTCTTTCAGTTTATATGTTTGTAGGTAACTCTCCTGGTGTTGCACTTTTATGGGAGATCTTCATGAGATGCAGAAACAAAGGGTGATTCTCAGCTACAGACACAAAAAGGAGAAAATACACATTGCTCTAGCACAAGCTGTGTGCAGTGGCATCCACAGAGACTTTTGGAAGATGAACTCTTCCTTGACTGATATGATCCTTGTTATTCATCTCTGTTAATACCAAGCATCAGTAATTTTTTGCTAATACAATGCCTAGTACTGTGGGAGCCAGAGCTTTCCCGGGGTCCCAAGGTACTACTGCAATACAGTTAATAGTGATAAATATCCTGCCTTAAAACAGCAGAGAAATAAAGGTTCAGTTATCAGTATTATAGCTTGATAGTTCACAAACAAAAAATTTAATTTTAATTTTGGATCAGCATTGTTTATCTTTCCAATGTATTTGCTTTTATTGTCACAGCTACATTCTGTTGCCATAGATTTTTTGTGTGATGGAGGCTCTGCCTCTAAGCATATACTTCACTTGGTGTTCGGGATCTATTTATTGCTTACCCTGGTTTGAAAAATTCAGTTTTCTTTAGGTAAAGCTACCAGAGATGAAGCACTTCAGTGCCCACTGCCCAGGTTAGCTGGGAATTGACATTGCTTACATATACCTGTACTGTATTCCTGCTGTTTTTCATTATGCCTTAACATGTTAAGTGACACTGCAGTTGGTATGGTGTCTACAAGGAGCATGGAGTAGTAAATAAACGTAGAGGGTGCAACAGGTTTACGTGGTCTGAGAATGTAAGGAAAGTGCACCATGCTCAGAAAACCACCGCACGAAAACCTGTAGTTTAAGACTATGCCATCATTCGTAAATGTGAGTTAAAGGTACACAGAAAGTAAAACTGACGTTTGTTATTTTTAAAAATATTTGCCTGTGAAAAATACTGGTTTGACTGTAGTTCTTTTGGTGTCAAAGGGTGTAGGTATTATTGTTTGTGAGAACTGGGACTGCTGCAGCAGCTAAGAGCCAACAGTGAGTGTGACCTATTTAGAAAAAAACCTCCAGCCTGCTGCTGATGAACCGACTGGTTTTGGTTCACTTACAGCACTATGGGATTCAAAACATACTTAGAAAACAAATAAGGATTCTTTAAAGCCCTGTGGAAGCTGCAAATGAGGGTGTAGAAAGTGACTCTTCGGCCGCTGTCACAGCCAGAACAGAGCCCGTGGTTTTGGCTTGCACTGTTGAAACTCACTGTGTGATATTTTTTTATTGAGCCGCATTGGGTCTGATCCACTCAGCAATGCTGTGGTTAGAGAGAGTCTCTCTAACTGCTTAGTTGCACATTAAGTTCAAAGTTCTGAGGCATTCTTCACCTGATGGGTGTCATGGAGAAATGCTTGTAAGTGCTCTCTGTTCCTTGTCTTGCTTGTGCGATTTTATTAATGTGTCAAGCTGAGGTTGGTAGGAATCCACATTTCAAGAGTGTTTGCAAAGGGCAGCAAGAAACACAACTGTGTGGCTCCTCACAGGCAGAAAGCGGGGAGCCAACTTTGCTTGTCCCTTAAATAATCGCTCTGTAGCCTATGCATTTAGAAGTTAATTTCATTTTGGCAGCATCAGTTCTAGACTTTGCCCAGCCAGTCCTGGTTTGGGAAAGGACTGAGTCTACACTGCTGAAAAGCCAGTACTGCCTCTGAGTGCAGTGTTGCTGTTAGCTCCCTCTGGCCTTGTGCACTCTCTGTGTAGGCTGTGCCCTAAAGGCCTACATCTTTGTAATTTTTACAGTTTCTCTTCCCAGAACAAAATGAGGTTTTAGTTTACTGCCCAGGAAGGGAATGGGATTGCTGGAGATCCCTGTAGAATACCAAGTCTCATAGGTGAAGAAGGAAATAGGCTTTCAGTATGTTGATAGTTTTTAGTTAGATTTTGTTGTTTGCAGTATGCTACAGTTTTTATTGCCAATAGAGATACGTCAGGACCACAGGGACACCGACATTTCTGAGCTGTGATGAAGGATGTCCCAGGTAAGACACCTCCCTGTGGCCTGTGGCTTGATGGGACTGTTGAGTAGGAGATGGGCCATTCGCTGCACTAGTGCGGAGGGAACTTGCGGGAGCCAACACAGCTCTTGCAAGAGGGTCTGACTTTCACCTGGGCATCTAGGGGAGACCAGGACCAAACCAGAGCAGTGAGGGCACAGCCCCTTTCTTCCTCTTCTCCCCAGTGCTCAGGTCCTAGAAGTGGTCCCATGCACAGGAACAGTGCGGCCAAGCAGCCTCCTGTTAAAGGCCAGGAAAGAGACACTTCCTGCCTGAGGGCAGCTGGGTATGTCCAGGCAGGAGGCTCCTCGAAACCCACTGACCCCACACTCGCAACAAGCTCCAGAAAAGGGATGGTTTTGCAGCTTCTGGCCTGCCATTAAACCAGATGCATTTTCTTGACAGGTCAGATTCATGTGCAGCAATGAGCTGTGTTATATGCCACAGGACTTCCTGCCCAGCTCATATTTTACATGTTGATTTGACTTACCAAAGAACAGTATTAAGGAGTGCCTTTTTTTGTTTGTGTGTGTGTTCATTTCCTCCTGTATTTACAAAAATTATTTAAGAAATGTATATGCTTTTATAGGCACTTTTATTTTCCATTGCTTGTAACAGATTATCACTCATGTTTTGTCAGATTTTTAAAAGGTGGAAAGTAAATATGTTCCAAATTGCTGTTTGTCACCAAATTTCATGACTTTTGGTTCAAATAAATTGCAGATTGCCTATAGAAGCCAGGAATAAAACTTGGTTGCATGGCAGAAAAAGTAGTAAACATAGTCCAGACTGATATTTTTATATATACATTACAGGGTTGGATTTTTTTCAGTGTTTGAGAACACCTCGTATAACAGGGTTTTGGTTGACTTGATGAGAAATTACCAGAGTTGGGCTTGGGACTTCCTGATTTAAAATAAAGAGGATATAACCATACAAAGAAGGGCTGGAGTTTTGCAAGCTGCTTTGTTCTGAGGGTAGAAACGCCTTTTCCTCTGTAGAACTTGTTGTGCAACAGAGAAGTTTTCTGTCTGAATAAATGTGTAACTTGGACATAATTAGCCTTTTGTGTATTTGAAGTGGAAGCAAAAATTCATACACTGGTCATTTTTATTCAGAGTCCTGGTAACTGAATGGTACCCGTCATGAGGAAAAGTGTGAGATAACTCTTGGTGTGGATCGTTGGTTGTGGTTTAAAAAATTAAAAACAGAAAAAAGAAAAAAGAAGTGTGCTGGGGCACTTTTGGGAATATTGCTCCAGAGTCAACAAACAGAAAACACAAACCACCTCCAGGAGCCTTTGTGTTGCTTCCCATGAGAGGTTTTCCTGGATAGTTTGCTGTAAAAGCCTTTTGGATTTCTAGATGGAGGTTCACAGGGTTTTCCTTCAGAGCAACTCTGCCATCAAGAGCCCTTTCCAATGGGTTATGAAGACTTCAATTTGCTCACATCCAGAGAAGTTAATTTTAATCAGTGTTTGCATTCTGCCACTAAGGATCTGTTCATGCCCAGGATCTAGGGTTTGGGTGTTTGCTCATCAGCAAACGTGACGCTGAATTGCTTAACAAGGTTTGTGACTCGTTACACCCTGCCTGAGTAGCAGCACAGAGAGGATGCATCATCGCCACTAATCTTGTCAGGATTTGCTCCTTGGTGCTGGCTGGAGGGGAGCAGAGGGTGGAGTTCAACATTTCAGTCTTCCTGAGCTGAGGCTTGCTTTGGCTTTCAAATTTGCCTCCTTCTTTCTGTCCAGCGTGTGATGGAAGCTGGATTATACCCTCTTAAAAACTCAGAACCGAAACCCCACTGAAGAATCAGCAACTTTTTTTTTTTTTTTCTGTTTTTGTTGGTATTAAAAATTATTTCATATCCTGTTTTCACTGTCTTTACACCAATGGTTGAAAGCAGTGTTTGGTCTGTGACTTTACGGGAGGTAAGTTGATTTGTGTTTGTATGTATCGGCAGTGTTTGTCCATTTTGGAAATGCAGTACCCTCCTTTTAAAAGCTAATCAAGAGTTCACCATCTGCCTTTTGTAGACAGGAGGAGGAATTTGGGAAAGAGGAATTTCTTATTTTATGAACTGTAGAAACTACGCTGAAGAGAAGGAAATGGTTGTCATAGTAAATTGTTAGTGCTGCGTGGAGAAATGGCAGGAAGCTCTCTGTTCACACCAAGGACAACTAGCAGGTCTGATTAGTTGGCTTATGCCAGGTTACAAAATGCTATCTGTGATGTGAGTCCTGCTGTAACAAACGAGCTCCATCTGTTGAACTTTATGCCATTGTGAATGGTATTTTATAAAACCCTGTAAATAAATATTTCAGGGCCTTTGAAAATATGCTACATATGAAAAGTTCTATTTGCTATTTTTGTACTGTGTAACATTAGGTTTTATTTAGGCTTAAGCAGATTAATAGTTTCCTCCTGAGGAAGAAGGCAGTTGTTCACTGCTAAATTTGGGAGGAGGAGCTGGAAAAGACAAACCGCCTAGTTTGGCACAGTGCCCTGTGTGGAGGAAGAGTAAAGGTGGTCCTAGAAGAGACTTTCAGCTGGAAATTAGAAGTATGGTGAACGAGATAAAAACATTTCTTAGCTATTGACTGGATAGACCAAGGTAAGAGATCTTTAACTTGCTTATATGCCATGTAAATTCTAGTTTAAGAGGAGGATATTGCATTTCCAACCATGTAAGCTTGCTTACCCACTTGTCTGCGAATGCAAAGCAGGAACTTTGAACTTCACATTGTGCGGCTTGCTTTGCGGACACTGAAGCTTTTGGCGAAAGCATAGCAAAAATGTTAAAGCAAACCTCTTTTTGGATTAATTTGTGGAAGTATTAAGAATTTCCTGATTTCTCCCTCCGAGCAACATCACTATGAAAGGTATTGGTACTGCAGCACCTGGCAGCGATACTATCTTGATCTGGTCCCAGTTTTTACATGAATTCAAGTCACTTTTGATAGCTACTTGCTGGCAGAGCTATGTCTATAAAATCAACATTTCTAAGATGGTCTGACCAAAATACAGAGATAAAGACACATTGGGGCCTTTTTTCTTTCCTTTAATTGACTGCAGTTTGGTTTTACACTCTGAGGTTTATATTATCCTTACAAAAGAATTTTACTTCTAAAAAAAGTCCCAAACAGAATACAGTGCAATTAAAATAAAAAAAATCCCCAAAGTTATGCGTATTTTAGCAGTGGTTATTTTAACTGTGTTGAAACAAAAGTATCTTACTTACTTTTTATTGTTTCAGTAACAAAACAAGTTATTTAAAGTATGGTCTTTTGGAAAGGAAACAAACATACTTTCCTGTACAGGGCAGTGCATAGTCTAGTTACACAATAGGGTCACATTAAGGAGTATTTGTAGAGGTTCTGCTTCCTGCCACAGGGGAAGCTCCCACACAGAAGAGACCTTTTTTTAGCATCCTCTTAAGAGTTGTAGTTGTCTTTTTTTGTTAAAGAGAAGTCTGCAAAATCTTCTTGTAACAGAAACAAAAATTGCAGTTTCATGTTGGTGAGTTTGGAAATTAAAAATATCTGAGCAGGAGGAAGTGAAGACACGTCATTAATGTGCTTATGCAAAGAAATCACATTTTGTAGGAAGGCATTCACTGAACAACTCTTGTAAATTTTTTTGCTGTCTTAAGTGCTGATATATATTCACTGTTTTGTCTTGGAGAATATAAGCACAGGTCCTTTCTGTAGTCTCAGCATGTAGGTTATTTATTGTTTTTCCACCTGTGAGTTTCCATAGGAACTTGGTATTTCTCTTTGAGTTTCCATAGCACACAGATTGCCTTTACAGTCTCTTTTAGTTTGAAAGATAGGGAGTAATTGTGTGACTGAAGGCCAGCACATTTTTTGCTCTCTTAAAATCCATTTGAGGAGGGCACCTCTATTTGTCCCACCTGGCTGTGTTCTTCCAAAGATGAATATCACTCCCTACAACTACCTGAAAGGAGGATGGAGCGAGAAGGCGGCTGGTTTCTTTTCCTGAGTAGCAGGTGATAGGACAAGAGGTAACAGCCTCAAGTTGTGCCAGGGGAGGTTTAGGTTGGATATTAGGAAAAATTTCTTCACCAAAAGGGTGATCAGGTACTGGAACAGGCTTCCCATGGAAGTGATGGAATCACCATCCCTGAAAGTGGTCAGAACATGAGTAGATGAGGCCCTTAGTGACGTGGTTTAGTGGTGGACTTGGCAGTCTTGACATAAAGGTTGGACTTGATGATGTTAAAGGTCTTTTCCAACCTAGTTGATTCTGTCATTCTGTAACACACAAACATCTTTTTAATATGATTCCATTTCTCAGCCCTAGAAGAGCAATAACTGAAACCGATTTTTAGAAACAAGAATCACTACTGCTCATTCTCCTGTGTATTTACCTTCTCTAATTGTGCTCTCTGTAGTCATTTCTGCCTGTGCAGAGTGGGTAAGGAGTGCAGTGTGACAAGAACCAGGGCCCGCAGTCTTGAAGTCTTTCATTTTGTGTTCCATGTTTTGCCCACCAAGCAGGTTGTGGGCCTGTGCTCAGGGAGTGAGGCCACGTCTCCATCTGGCATTTGTTCTCAGCAGGTATCCTGCAAAACATGCACTGTTATCCTGGCGCATGTTGCAGAGAAAGTGCACAAATGGTGATGATACAGATTATATGAGCTGTAGGGAGTTCCCTGCTAAATACTCTTCTTTACTGTCTTACGGAAGATGGGAAGTTGGCACTACATCATATACAAAATGTACTGTTTTTATGGATTTCTGCAGACAGAAATTTGTATAAAGGAGCAGGACAGCTTTACTTTCAATTGGAAACATTATGATGAGTATCTGTTATTTGGTCCCGGTTCACTACTGCTGGGTGGGATTTTATCTGCCTAATTTCTTTTGATAACGAGTAAGCAGAAACCAAGTGCTTTTGCAGAGAGGACTGTTTACTTTTGACAGAGAAACCCTACAGTCAGTGTGTCACTTACGCGACACAAACACAACCATTGGGATGTAAGTGGAATAGCTGCATTTGCACTGCTGGCTTAATTCACTGTTGTTTCCCAGAGCAGCAGTCCTGTCTTAATGTGCACTCTTGCCTTCTCAGTGTTTTACACACACAATATATTCACTTATTGCTCTTTAATATTGATAAAGACTAACTTCTTTTTCTGGTTGTTCCTTTCTTTCTGCAGAGGGAAAACCGCAGGCTCCAAGAAGCAAGCATGCGGCTGGAGCAGGAGAATGATGACCTTGCCCATGAGCTTGTAACAAGCAAAATTGCCTTACGGAATGACCTGGACCAGGTAATGCTAACAAAGATGGGTCCCAGCTCAGGCTTGGCAACACCATTTTTAGGAGCCCTGCTTTGTGCTCAAGTGAAAGCGTGAATGCAACATTGAAAGTATAATTATTTGTGCCTGTATTTTCCTGACAACCTCACTCCCAGTTGCAGTCAGAAGGCTGGATTTCCACATGTGTGCAAATGTAGGTATTTACGGTGCTGCCTTGCCAACACTGACTTCATCTGCTCTGTTGTGGATTGTTTTAGAAAATTTAAACCATAACTTTTACTCAGATACCAAAGAATGAATATTTACTTGTAAAAGTTATCACACCGTCCTCAAAAGACTATCTTCAAGGGAAGCTGCCTTGCAG